GGGCCCCAGCCATCCTTGATCTGGTACTCGAGCAGTCTCTCCGGCGGAACCAGGCTGCGAACCTCCTCCACGTGATCAAGGTAGACCTGCTTGCCCTTGTTGGGGAAGTCGCCGCGGAAGAACGTCTCGAAGAACTTGTTCAGCATGGGGTAGTACATGCTGGCGGCCCAGCTGAAGTGGGAAACGAGGCGGTGTTCAGGGTCGGTGACACGCCAGAAAACGGTCTTCATGACGGAACTGCAAATGGAGTTAGACTTAACTTCTCTTCTCAATAGACATATAGAGCAGTACATACGCATGCCATGAGTCCACGTCACGGGTCGACAGAATGACTTTGGCGTTGGGATAGGCTTCGATCAATTCTTTGGCGAAGGCGCAAGCAGGCCAGTCGCAGACAGCCTAGAGAGCTATCAGCGGTTGCTTCCCTCTTATCTCTTCAATCATCCAAGCATACCTGGCAGTCTCCCAGCAACTGATCCCATTCCTTTCTGCCAAACTCACCCACACCGTCGTATTTGGCGCAGAGAGCATCGTGCCACATCAGACAGTCAGGAGGGTTCTCCACGCTGGCGGACATCATGTGGTAGCATTTGACATATCCCAATCTCTCAAGGGCCTTGCGGAGGGCTAGTAAACCGTCAGACGACTGGTATACGGCTTGAATTATAGGAGACCGAACATACACGCTGTACCAGTTCTTCCCACTCCAAGCGCAAGCACCTTCATAGGCACTGTCCGGTGGCATTTTCTCCGGTCAATGCATGTGTCGCTAGTGAAGATATCTGTAATAGGCTGAGGAGCCAGGTTGTCGGCGTGTATCAACGACATCGTATATTCGTGGAACGAAAGTTATAGTTCTAGGTGTCTTGTTTCGAAATACAGAAAAGGTATCCGCCGATAACGAAGGTTTAGAAGGATGGCCTTGAACTTGGACAAACGCAGAGACAACAAAAGACCCAAAGAGAGAACTATCAAGTTAAAAAGAAAGTACTGTCAAAGCAAAGAAAGGACGAAGGAAGTGGTTAAAAGGAGACCGATCCTCTTGAGATGCAGATCAATGGACTACTAGATAAATACCATTCCCAGGAAAAGTAGGAGCCGGTGCCAAGGCACTGTAACTTGTAACATCTTGAAAGAGTGAATATAGAAGAATAATTAGTTTGGCAATCCAATCAGGATTGACAATGTGCAGTACTCCTGTTACAAACGGATGAAAGCTTGGAGCAATCCGCTATCCTCTGATCTATTTGCAGTCTGTACTCTGTATTGCATTGGAGGCGGTTAGTGCGTAATGTGGCGTTGGTAATTTTTTTCTTGGTTCCCTATTCTTGTTCTCGATCACGCTGTCTCCTTCCTCTATCCACCTAATTCCTTTTCTCCTTACCCCTCTAACCTTGGGGGTTGAACTATGGATCTCCCTATCCGTATCTGTCTGGACTCTGATTCTCCCCTGTCCGGCGGGTCTCCGCCCACGTTTTGGGCGCTTTGAAGCACCGCCGACGTTTGAAATAACGTCACTGGCTGACGCACCCAAGGAAAAAGCAAAGGATCGTCAGGAGGTGACACTCCGACTTTTTCCACCAGGAAGACGTCTGAACGTTCGTAGTTTGTAGATAGGCGCTCTGAGTGCGTAACTGTGTACGCCATGGCAAAGCTGTTGCTTGACAACGGAGCCACTTGGGACGGGAAATGGTATGGGCCTCTCAGACCAGACAGGACGCCTGCCAAGACCGCCGGACCACAAACCCAAAAATCTTGCCGCGTAGACAGGCTGATGAAAGTGATAATACAGAAAGGATCATTCATCAAGGCGGTGCACCTCCGATCCCTGATTGGGCGCGGGTGGCCGATGCTGACGCGTATCGAACCTGACAAATATCCGTACGCAAGGTCTGAAACGCAGGTACCGGCCCACTCTTCACTAATGATAACGGGTTACCATGACTTACACATAAGGTAAGTTCCATAGTCTAGAACTCGGAATTTCCCTAAGATACTCCGTGTGTCAGTTTTGATATGAATCGATTCAAATCCTTTTTTCCAAAGCAGAGGCAACGCTCAATGATGCAGCATGCGACTGCCGTAGAGATTGCAGAGACGCCAGATAACGGTCATTCTTGCACAGCATTCGGCCTCCGGGCTTTGGGACAATCCCAAGGCTTTGTAACTCCGACTTGTAAATTTGTAACATTGCCAAGCCTTCGTTTGACGTCTATTGTCACGCTCGGACTAAACTCCGCAAGAAACTCGGTACGAAAGGCTAGACAGGGTTAGGATGAGCGTATCATTTATCCTTCTAGAACAGGGCCGATATTCCGGGTGGGGGAAACTGGGCCTCTTCACCCGCAAGCGAGATGATAATAATGCGTAAGTAAGCATGTAAGTCTGTGATCGGTCGTCTGTTACTTGCTCTGTTTACCTCTGCTTTCGTGGCGGTATTGACATGTTCATACGGTGGTCCACTTGTATGGCTTCAAAGGTCATTTTCTGGATCTTCCGCCGTCAAAACAATCCAAAGGTCTCTCGGAAAGTGGATTCAAGTCTGAAGGCAGGTGGCAATGTGGTTCTCTGCTGATTAGTCTCCGTCTGTTGTATTATCGCCCGTGCGTGACTGATAACTATTATGGCCATCTTCATTTCCCCTTTAATTATCGTCGCCACAAATCAAAGTTTCATCTTCGAGAAGACCACCCTGTCTGCCGTTTGATCGACCTGGATCGACTCGTGCATCGTGCCAGTAGTAGTCGCGATTTCAGACTCCTGGGCCCTTAGTCGATGGCCTTGGGAGCCAAGAAAAGGAGATGCGAGTTTTTGTTGATATGGTAACAATCGTCGGATGCCTTATGATGATCTTCGACTGGTCCCAGTTCAGCTTGGCGTATTGGCATCGACAGCCTGTGCAAAGTGATAGGTGGTTTCGATTGAGTAAGAGAGGTATGGCCGCCTGTCGATGGGTCGCCGTCCGCCTCAGTTGGAGCTCGTGATCATTATCCCATGTAGCACAGTAGAGAGTAGGACCAATGAGGCATTTCAGAAGACTGCTGATCTCTGAGACGCCTGTCAGTTTGATACATGTCAGCTCTTATGTATATTTTTGTTCCAACTAGGCAAGTAGTGAGAACCATGTAATCCGCTCATGTCCCCGCAGTGAGGCGAGTGTTCAAGTTAAATCATTCAAAGAGGGATTGAGAACAGATTGTATTCTCCGCCATGAGAACACGGCATCAAACAAAGGTCTTGAAGGAACATGGCATTATGCCTTCTTATACCTGATGCCAAGACATGTTGTCACAATAACTACTACTATCGCAATCGCAGACCGTGATCACCTCACCCTCTTCAGCCATTCCAATTTTGGTAAAAGTCCTATTAACTCAGATCTCAGACAGTTAGATTTAGCTCGCAAACGTTAATTGAGCTTAAATGAAGTGGCTGCATCCTGATATATCATAGATCTCCTCGGTATTGTTGCTACCTACTGCTGTTGGATGGGTTAGGTCGGCATGTCTGACCATCATGTACCCCGCTAGCCTTGTTCAAGCATCACGGCAGTTTTTTCGGCTGTTGTTCGGTGTCCCTGCACTCTTATGGGTGCTGCCTAACTTCAGAACCCTCAATTCCCACGAATAGGGTATCGATGTATTGGAAAATTAGATACAAGAGAGAACGGTGAATGTGACGCAGATATGGACGTCACGAGAAATGCGCCCAAATATGTTGACAATCATTAAATCAAGCCCTCATAACTCCGTGAGATGACCATATCCCAAAGGTCACCTTGATGCAAATTAACGTCCGCCTTATCAACGTAACGGCAAAGCGAGTGATTCCCTCTGCGATGAAATATTTGGACCCTAAAGGGCTCACTCGAGCTTATCCAAGTGTTCCAGCCTCGTAAGCACAACCTGTTTGCTTGTTTCCTCGATTTCGCCCGCGAGAAACACCTCATCGAGAATCGCATATACCTGCGCACATCCTCCAGTTAGCACCATGGTTGTTCCACAATCGAATCATATTTCCGACAGCCCTCGATGTCCCTGAATATAAACACCCACGCACCTTGTAAAAATTGAATACCAGATCCAGCTCACAGACATTGCCAAAGAACTGGTCCAGGACCTCGACGAAGAAATGTATAGCCTCCAGATAGGCTAGCTCATTGTCCGTCGCGTCAACGCACACACAGAAGAACAGCCCTGCATATCTCCGGTACACGATCTTTGTACTCCGCTTAAACTCGACAAAGTTCGACTGATACTTCTGATCCCTGGGGGCGACAAGGCGATGGACCTGATATCAACCGGTTAGCCATCCAGATTCGACATCGTATATCTCAGGGAGTAGGGTCGTCGGAAGGCCACGAACCTCGCCCTTGAGTTTTATTTTCTCCTCATCCTGTGCAAGCCACAAATTAGCAAAAACGTACCAGTACCAGAAAGATAAGAAAACTTACGCTATAAGGCGCATACCACTTCGCCAGGCGTGTCTTACCCCTGTTCATCCGTTAGAACGCAAGGTGGACTCGATCAGGGGAAAACTGTAACTCACTGGCGGTTCTGCACCAGTATAAATGAAAGAACCATCCCGCTTTTTATTTCCCCGGTTTGCGGAATAGATGACGCGGCGTAGTTGAGCACATATCAGTCACTACCTCCGGAGGTTTCTCCGCAATGGCCTCAATCCTATATTGCCATCATTCACCGCCTTTGCTATTAGATGGCGCTGATCTTCGCTGTTAACGATCAAGATACGTCGCTTGAACATCGATGCGAATCCGATACTACGAAGCTAATGACTGGTTACATTACTTTTTACATCTGCAGAGCGATAGACTTAATGACCATTTGCGATGCGAATGTTGACACTGAACTGATGTAGAACCGATACTCCTAGGTTACAAATGCTATGACAAGAAGTTATGAAAGACTCCTTCCGCAAGAAATCGCAAGGTATGGGGGTTTGTGAGATTCGTTCGCCGTAAATTAGTAGTATATTGCCGTTTATCTGCCAAAAAACCTGGCGAACTTCACGGGGAATCGAGGCTTGAATGCGCCAAACCATCAGTATAATCTGTCGCAAGTATCAAAGAAGAACGAAGGGCAAGACTTACCGCCGGGCTAGGAGGTGTTTCTGGTGCTGTCGAGTTCCTAACACTATCGCCATTTGATTCCGTGTACTCATCATCGTCATTATCGTCATAATCGTATTCATCATAACTGTCGTCTTCCTCGGAGTGAGGGAAAGCCCTGTCTGGGTCCCCATTGTAGACAATCCACCAGCCTATCCTCTCGCCTGCGGCGTACTTATCTCGGAGTTGCGTCAGGGCTTCCATGGCACTTGGTTCCAAGGGGGAGTCCTTGGCCAAGTCTTCGGGATTCCAGCTGAGTCCCGGCGCCTTAGCACCAGGTTCCGAAAGTGTAATCACCTTGGCCGCGACGTAGGCATAGGGCTGGCTGACAGCGGTTGCGCTATCAGTGTCTTCGGGGTCATATTGCTCGATGAATTGTAGGTCCGGTAGACGAGCGACGATATCCGGGTCCGTCTTCTTGAAGCATTCGGTAAGCAGTCGACTTGTCGCCGGTTGCTGGACGTATTCCGCTGTAGCGTCTTCCAGGTTGTGGAGAACGATGTAGACTCGGATACCGGTGAAGCCGGCGCGTGGCCACCGGAAGCCGTGGACCATGTATACGGGCATGGCGGGGAGGAGGTGGAATCTTGCTAGATTTGGCGTCTCTGGCTGGACAAGCGAGGGTGCAATGGCCCAAATGACTGTGTGCACAGCTTCATATTAGCCTTGAAGTCGTGCGAAGGGCATGTCGTTGCACAAAAGGTATGGCAGGGTGGAAAGAGGTGTTGCTACCTGTCGCATTTAATCGATCATTTTCCAGGTGGACTGGGAACTTGGCGCTAACTTAAAACCCCGTCGACGAATGTTTGAAGAATGGTGCAACGGTGCCACCATGCGCCTTTTGGACCTGTCCGCATCGCTCTGCCTCTTTTGACAATTCATATGCAAACGATCAGATATTTTAAAGACCGTTTTTTATGCACTAGTTTTAGCGCAGGGTATCCCCAGCGGAATTATGGTACTACTGCACTTCAAAACTAGGCAGGTAATTCTCCGATCATCTCCACTCTAGTACAAAGACTCTGGTGTACGGTGTGCTATTGCGCCCGTGTTGTATTCTCTGAAGGAATAAGGCAAATGTATCATTGAAATCATCATGAAGTTGCCCCATACCCTTTCTTCCAGCTGGCATCAAAGGTTGCCTTATCCACAGCAAATTCTCTGATATAATCCCTCTCCAGGTCATGCGCTTTTCTTCCAAGCAACACCAAGCTGTGCAAAGGCGGTCCCATGTCCACTTCTGACAGTTCTTTGAGGGTACCCACAACCAGTTTCTGGTCAGGACCGCCGACTCTAGCAGCTCCGACCGCAAGGCTGTCGGGTCCAAAGACACCTTCCTTTCGTTCTTCCTCGGTTTCCAGCATCTGGCTCGCACATTGGGCGACGGTCATGTACCTCGGAGGTTCAAATATCCTCCGTCCTCTGGCCATGTTCTCATACGATTGCTCCTTGACCTTGATATCCAATAGCACTAATGTGTGGAGGCCTAACTGAACGTTTTCCTTGACCCGGTCGTAGTAAGAGGACGGCTTCCAGTTCTCCGTGAAGAACACCATGCTCACCGTTTGTCCAAAATTGTAAAGTTGCAGACCAGTGCAGCCGATGCCGGACATAATCGAGGCGTTCGGGATAACCTTGGATTCAATGCCCATCTCTCGAGCTCGGAGAACCAAGTCTGTATGTGTCGTGGCGCTGGTAGTCAATTAGGCAACGCCGGACGGTCCTGAAATGTGAGGGAACCTACCCAAAAGGATCGCCAACTACAAGGAATGCGACATCCGTCTTGTCGGCCCCAGCGAGGATCTCATCACTGCCGGTCTCAACCAGTTCCCTGTCTGCTTCGATAACGGGACGTCCATAGAACGCTTCCTACTAATGCACCAGTTCATTCTTTAGCCAACTATTGTACAGTAGCGTCTCGCAATGGACTCACTAGCTTCTCTTTGCTCACTAGCAGAATACTTGTGTATGCCTCAAGGTAAACCCGCTTAGCTCTCTTGACAACCTCCAGGCCTTTGACAGTGATGTCACTTTCGTCAGCGAGACCAAGACCAACAAGATACAACATCTTGGATGGAAATTCAATAGCAATATTCGGTCAATGGAGTTGACGCCTGTAGAAGGGAGAATGTCATTCCCGACCAGAATTTCTATCTTCCACCCCGCCAGATGCGGCGGGATAAACGGAAGGGGGAAAAACAGAAGTCCCGAGTATCGGAACGGTCCCTGGCCGCGCTTGGTCTGTTTCCTATCAGATCAGATCGTTCTATAGTTTAAGCGTGGGTGTCGTCCAGTCTGGTAATCGGGGAGTGTCATTCTTCATCAGCCTTACTCTTTTGCACTCCGGCTTCTAAGCCTGATTGACGCCGATCGTTGCGTTGAGTGAATCCAATATGGCGACCGATCGAACACCGAAGTATCGGCAGGAGATTCAACAGGTAAGTCAGCTGCTTTTTTCTGTAGTACTCTTTGGGCTCTTTCATCTCGGACGATGGCCTACAATGATCTCATTGCCTATTCTTGTGTATTTGCTGGTTTGGCTGGCTCAAACTACCGTTATCATTGGTCTCCTTGCCATTGATTGTATCTGGATTGGGACATATCGTGTAGTTGACCCGATTTCCCTCGATATGTGACCCTCTACGTGATGTATTGCAAGGACTTGCTGTTCTATGACCTACTTTTCCATATACCACTGTGTTAGACCAATCCTTTTATCATCTGTTCTCCTGGCCTTTTATCTACAGCGTTGCCTGGTACCCTCCTCGGTCTCGTGGCGTCTTCCTGTCATCCTTTCGTTAGAAAGAGCGAGCCGTCTGAGAAGCAGATCACTGCACTTGAAGTGCTGCTTCTTCCGACCAGAGTGCCTCAAATACTTCGGTTCGGTGTGAATCGACGGAGATGCTCAGGGTGCCGTCTGAGAAGGCTTCAATCATTCTGAAATGGACTCGGGTGCCATGCCAGATTTCGAACTCAGCTTGCTGACCTCTTTCGCAGATGATGTTCGTCTCTGGAGAGACTGCCGAACCATCCGTTGAAACGACAACACTTATTGAGGATATCGTTCGCCAGCAAGTGATTGAAATCGTATGCTTTTTCCTTCCTTGAGGCATGATGTTTGATTAACACTGTCACTGCAGCTTGCACGAAGCACGACGTTGGCTACACGCCGGGGTGTGCGGTCTATTTCCACAGATGATTTGATATTTTTAATTCGACATGACAAGGCCAAAGTCTCACGTCTTAAGACCTTCCTTTCCTGGAAGGATGTCCGTAAAAACGTCAAAGACTCGGACGATAAAGGTGGCGCCGACGCGGCGGACTTCGCAGGTGCTGATGACCCGATGGCGGGAGGCGTCGTTGCCGGGCCTCAAGATGTTGCTTCCAAACCGAAAAACAAGAGGGCGCGTGTTGGCCTTGTGTGGGACGTAAACAGCTTCTACTCCGTCCAGGTACCGGAGAGGGAGGACGAAGAAGATGAGGAGGAAGAAGAGCAGAACTATGCAACTCTTCAACGTCTTGCAGCAGCTGATGAACGCACAAAGAACATGACCAGAGAAGAGTATGTGTTCTGGTCGGAATGCCGTCAAGCATCGTTTACCTATCGCAAGAGCAAGCGTTTTCGAGAGTGGGCTGGCTTTGGCATCGTGACGGAGTCGAAACCCAATGACGATATCGTCGATATCCTTGGGTTCTTGACGTTTGAGATAGTTCAGACCCTGACCGAAGAAGCACTCAAGGTCAAGGAACGCGAGGACCGTGAGAAGATCCGTCGTGGAGGAGCCGAAAGCGGAGCAGGTGAAAACGCGAAGAAGCGTAAGCGAGAAACCGGTCTTTTCGATCCTCCCGAAGAGGGACGTACGCCAGTTGAACCAAGACACATCCGTGAGGCTTACCGTAAGCTTCAAGCCACTCCGAACAAGAACATTGCTATGCTCCTGCACAATGGGCGCATCCCGGCCCGTATGCCTTTGAGATTGGTAGGATCCATCCTCAGCTATATTTTGACCTCCATGCTGATGTACTCCCAGATTTGACCGAGTTCCACATCCTGTCACCGTCTTACGACTCATACGATTTATTTCCCGGCGTTTACTCTTTCCTTCGGCGGAGCTATACTCCGATAGATACCCATGAACTACGATTGTACGATATTAAAGTTGTTTTGGTGGAATCTTCTGCCATATCTTTTGCAGTTGTGCATGCGTTGGTGAGATTTCACAATGTTGTTTTTCATACTACATAGTCAATTATTCTGAGCAACATTACCAGAATGCTCCAAGCCCAAACAGCTCAATGTTCGTAAAGTCGTGAACGCGAAACCACTTCCAGCACACAATTATTGGTGCGTCCGGCGCCCTTGAACAAGTCAGCATACGTTGAGAAGGACTTGAGGGTATTATTTCTGTGACGTCCTCAGATGGACTTACACTCAGCCAATTCCTCCTCAGTCAGTTCCCTGAGACTGCTGATGGCAGGAACATCACCCTTGGAGACGCTCTTGACTGTTTCCACGGCTCTGCCAATCATCCCCTTGCGCGTAATGGCATATGTCGCCAGCTTGGCCTCAAGCTTGATCACGCCGATTCGCGGGTCTCCCGGGCCACCGTCATGCACACCGTCGCCCAGATCACCCAGCCACGCCTTCAACGCAGGCGAGTAGTACTTCTTCACAGTCTCCTGGTCGGCAATCAGGGCAGCAGTGCCGGAGATCGAAGCCCAGGAGCCGCTCACGGGATCCAGGAAGGACATGTTGACTTCTGACGGGTGAACGGTGAGATCCATCGTCTTGCTTGAGAAGAGATTCGTGTGGAAGATGAGGTCGATCCCGCCGTGTTCCTGGATCCGCCATTGCGTCAGCTCTTTCCTTCTTTCTTCGTCGTTTCGGTGGGAAGAAAATACGGTACCTTTCCTGCTAGGGCCATGCACCGCGAAGTCAAGAGGTCCGCGTTGGACAGCTTCGTCGTCAACATGCCGAATTTGGTCTCGCTGATGAAGTTGACCATGTCCTCGACTTTTTGCTGGAGAGGGGGGTCCTCAAGGCTCTTGGCCTTGTAGGGATCGACGGGCTTGTTGCCGGTGCTTGTGTTGATTGTGGAAGACATTGTATATAGCGCAGATAGACAGGGTAAGAAAGCAATATGAGATGTCAGTAGAAAGGTATTGGAGAAAGACAACGATGGTGAGCGGTATATATATGCCAGCAACAGGTACGATTATCGGCTGTTCATCCCAGATGGACTGACGTATACCATGTCCAGCCAATCAAACACAGTGTCTGACAGGGGCCTGCATATCTCAGGCCCCAAGGTGCCTGTGTCTGGAGTACAGTGGGTGTGACGATGATGTTGTTGTTGTATGGTAGGTCGATCACCGAGATCTGGCGTAGAAGTGACGTCAAAGCAGCATCAACCCAGATTTCTGAGTTCATCGATATTTCCACGGGCAATTACCCCTGAGGGTATTTTAGTAATCTCCCTTTCGTCTATGTAGTATAATCAATGGTTGTTCAGTGGCATTGTGCTCGTTGGTCGGGGTGAAGAAGTGGAAATGGCAGCCAAGCCAAGTATTCAAGATGCTTGGACTCAGGACAAAGACGTTTCACAATATGATATTTATATATTAAATTAGATATTACCTGAATGACTATCTATACATCTCATTCCTCGCCTTCAGATAGCAAGACGACACCCAGAGGCGTGAATGTCATTGTGAGAATTGCAATGCTTCGAGCGATAGATCTTCACTGCTAACCACCCAACGGCTAGAATGTTAGACCGAGACATTCTCGGTTATGGGAATGCCAAAAGTATGGTTATATATCTCGAACAGAACTCGCGTCAAGAAGGGAATGATATGGGCTAGATGAAAGCTCACGCTTCGTTGCGATGCTGATGACAAGGACGCCATGAAAGATTGGCCTCGCCTCCACCTTTCCCAGGCGTGACACCGATATACGGGAAAGGAGGCAATTTGCGCATGATTTCACTAGCAAGGAACACGAGGCCTTGATTCATGCTCTCATCAATCGCTTGAGGCTTTTTCTGTTGAACTATAGCATGCGAGCGCCTGGAGTTCTTCGGTTACTGCTCGCAAGATAAAGGCCTTCAGGACTTCTTCTGGACACTGTCGAATGCCGCTCATTCCTCGAAAGCCAACCCGGGTTAAGTGATCGACCGATTATGAAGAAGTGCTCCCCCATCATAGCCAGTTCCCATTGTTCACATGGATTTGAAGTTTGACGAAGCGGTATGGCAATTGAATGGATATCGTTGCCGGTTGTCCTGTCGTAAAAACTTTGACGATGAGTTGTACAGTCACAGCTGTCTTTACTATAAAGTGATGCTGCGCGTCTCGTTTGATCAACGATAAAACCACCTGTGGCAGTGAGCAGACGTTTCGCATGGAAGCATCCGGACGGCGAGTCTACCTCACGAGATTCCATAACAAGCTGACGCAGAGGAAGATCAAACCATGGATCAGCACTAGAAGGGACTCAGCGTCAGCGCTCACAGGAGCTCGACCGAACTCAAGGCCTCACGAAGGGCACGGGACTGCCGACAGACCTTCCCTGCCCGCATGTTTCAAGAATTTCACCCGGCCCTGTCTCTTCAGCCAGATCGGGACCAGATCCTTCTGACAGGTCCTCCCTTCGATGACGAGACATCCTCCTCTTCTTCGGGGACACTCCAAATGTCGTCGTCGGCGTTCCATGATTCCCCTGATCCTTGGATTGCAAAACGACTCGTCTGTCCGAAAGGAGCATTTCTCCATAGGACACTCGAGCTTGCGCTCAAAACGCTCGACCAGCCAGTCGACTTTAAGATGAACGCCGGTATAGACAAGATAGTAGAAATGACGACAGGTGTGTTTGAGCGCCAAAGCGTCGGGATAGGAAAGATACGAAGAGATTTGTAAATGCAGCTCTGTTGGTAGAGCCATAAGAGCGTGTTCAAAGGAAATATATTCTCCTTCCGAAGGAGCGTCCATGACTGAATGCTTAGCCGCCTGCATATTGCTTGGATGGGTTCGTTGAGAGTCAAAGTAGAGAGAAAGCCAGAGCCAACTTCAACAATACTTAAGTCCAACACAAACACTTATATGTTACTGGAGCAAAGGTGTTGCCTGAAACTTAATACAAAAGAAAGGTGGCTGTTCAGACACAAACAGAAAGGAATGGACAGACAATACGAAGTGTTGCGACTATTTAAAGCAACTTGAGGCACCGACATTACCCCAAAAAAGGAATCCGATGACCTGTTTCACTGGGCTTCCTGTCGGCGTCAAGAATTCGAGATGATAGGTAGGAGTGATTCGCGATCGACCAACGTCTCAATGCGCCATTCATCCCACACCCTCTGTACAATAACCATAAAGTGAAACTAAGAAAAGTAAATACACAGCTCGAGCAGATGCTACTAAACAATATTAAAAACAGACTGGAAGGAAGAATGGACGCGACGGACTCCCCCTCGTTCTTTGGCGGTGATGTGATCCCCATCAGCCACCGCCTCACCGCCCGCCACTTCCGGACATCTATTGCCATCATGACAGCGGAAAGCTTCATCTCCCATCGTCGCAGCAATCCTATCGATTCTCATACTTTGAGGATTATCACCTCAGTCTTCGTACGAAGGGAAGATACAGAATACCGCCTGAGCAAACCCACTAGAAGACTACCCACCAAACCCTCCTCACAATGTCCGGCAAAGGCAACACCGCATACGGAGCCCCCTCATCAGATACCGCCTTCCGCAAAACATGGGACCGAGAAGAATACGCCAAAAAGGCCGCAGATGAAGAAGCAAAGCGCAAAGAAGAGGGCAAGGCGCGCTATGAGGCAAAACTGCTAGGGAAAAAATGGCATGCGCCGGTGGACTACAGCACTCTCGAGGCAACAACCTCGCGCAAACAGCGCCTCGATGTCGCCTCGATGGTGGGCAAGACGACGATCGTTCCAGCGGGATCGGCAGTGGGAAAAAGGGGTCGCGGTGCTGGATTCTACTGCTCCGACTGTGATCTTACCTTCAAGGATAATCTGCAGCTGGTGGAGCATTTGAACAGCAAGCAACACTTGATTGCGACGGGTCAGAGTGGCGAGGTGGTTCGCGCTAGTTTGGAGGATGTGCGGCAGCGGTTACGATTTCTGGCTCATCAGAAGCGAGTCAGGGAGGAGGAAGAACGGCGGGCCTGGCAGTTGGATCTTGGCCAAAGATTGAAGGAGAGGGAGGAACAAGAGGCCAAAGAGAGAGAGGAAAAGAGAAGAAAGAGGAACGAAAAGCGTCGGAAAAATGGAGAGAATGGGATCAAGCAGGAGGAAGATTCCTGGGAAGGTCGACTTGGCATTATCGCATAGTACAAGGCGTCGAGAGGGATTGCACATGCGAGAAACTTCAATTAATTGGAAGGGACAAAAGTTTTGCAGATACCCAGGCGTTTGGTTTTATTTGGATTTTCTTTGGGGCTGGGTTCTTAGTGTCAAAACAGACAGGAATTTTGCATTTACCGCGCTGTGATATTGCAGATTCGCTTCAGAGATATCGCGTCCAGGAATACATTCAAGAAAATAAGTGCTAAAACAGAGAGCCATTGTTCCCATCCTATAACACCGAGCTTCTTCAAATCAAACGCCATGTTTCAGTCAATGCACTCGATCCCTTCCAGTGCGCGCATTGCTCTGGCCCCTTCCTTCTCGAACTGACTGACCAATCTCTCACATTCGCGCTTGAGCTTTTCTTCTCCGTTCCGAGCATGCCAGTAAATCCACTCTTCTACAGTCATCTTCTTCTCGGGACTTGTAAGATCTCCTTTGATACTGTTCAGAGCAGCCCTTACATCCACGTTCTCCTTATCACTCATTGAGGCGTAGAGAATTTCGTCTATGTCAATAGGTGTCCAGGGGTGTAGACTCCTGAGTGCGCCAGAGTTCACATTTCGTTTGGACGGCGAGGGCGTACTGGTTACCAAGGGAATGCGAACCGCTTTCTCCTTGGACGGTGATGCTAGTTGCGTCCTTAGAGCCGATGGTTGTATGGTTGGTGGTTGGTTCTCAGCATCGGAAGACTGGGGTGATGAAGATGGCGAACTCTTCGAAGTGGAAGGGAGAGGCGACACCGCATCGCTTTCCTGTCGGTCAGAGTTTATTCTAGCTTGTGGCGCTTTATGGGAATTCGGCGTTAGAGTTTCCGCAATCGACTTGGCAAATTGCTTCTCTTGGGGGATGTTGCTAAATCTCTCGGCCGTCTTCGGGGGAACTTTGGATGACCGGCGACGGACAGGCGTTTCGTTGGCTTCCAGCTGCGGCTCAGGCTCCGGATCTACCTCCCTGTCTTGCTCTATGTTGTCCTCGTGGTCCTGCTCTTGTTCTTGTACATGGTCCTGACTGTGATGGAAAATTGTCTTTTGTTCGGGTTGCAAAGCTGCCTCCGGCTCCAAGCTATGCCTTGTTTCAGGCCCTTCGGAGGCAGGAGTTTCAGCCTCTGAAGGCTCCAGAGGCTCCGCAGATATGTCCCTTGTGTGACTAGTTTTCTTCGTTTTGCTGGTCGAGGACTGTTTGGTCGCCTTCTTCGTTTGAGAGCCATTATCTCTCCTTTCGGGTTCCAAGTCTTGCTCTGGTTTCCTTGCTGTTACCTCCACTGACACAAAAGACCCTTGGTGCCTGCGATCAGCTTCGGCGTCAACTTCTGGCGAGTCAGCTTTAGTTGCTGGGCGGCTCTTGGGTGACTCGGATATCTTCTTTTCGGAAAGCCTTGCTTCTTTGGAGTTTCTCTGCTTGGTAGTGGATTTAGCTGGTTTCGGCTGCTCGGCTGGCAACTGAATGTCACTTGTCCGCCTATAAATGAATTCATCGTCGTCTACTCGGCGCAACTCTTGCTCTGCGTTTCGCTCGACAGTATCATGCTGTACCTTGGGTGGCTCCTCTGCCGCCTTCTTTGTTTTCTTTTTGGACTTCGATTTCTTCGAAGGCTTGTGTGTTTCCGCGGGAGGCTCTTCGACCATAGGCTCGCCGACTTCAAGTTCGGCCTCAATTGCTGCATCAATCTCGGAATCTCGCGGTAAGCGAGCTTCCGGAGCTGCCTTTGCTACCAATGAATCCTCTGAAACCTTCCGACCTTTAGATGATGTCTTCTTCTTGGTGGCCGCACGCCCCTTCTTGGATTCAGCTTCGAACAAAGCCTCTTCGTCCGGTCCATGCACATCTGCGATAGCAACATCACCGCGAGTGCTGTCTTCTCGCTGAGTAGCACTGTTGCGCGACTTTGTCGCTCTCTTCTTGGTCGGAGGTTCGGATTGATGAATGCCCTCGACAATAGCCATGTTAGACTCGTCTAGGTCCATTTCATCGCTAGACCTCTTCTTGCCTCTGGTCCGCTTGGGCCTGGAAGGCTCAGGTTGGGCATATTCCGTGGTGTCTAAGTCCATCTGGTTATCAGGCTCTAGGGTATCATCCTTCTTAGATTTCAAGGTTTTCGATTTGGATTTCGATGATTTCTTTGAGGCTTTCGTTTTGGTTGGCGGCTGGGGAGCATCATCCTCATCCATTTGGCTGTCAAGCTCGGTGATGGGCGCTTCCGATACTGTAGATTGGGTGGAGAGACGAGACGATGTTTTTGAGACGCGCGACTTTTTTGATCGGGAAGATTTTGACTTCTTGCCAGGAGGCTGTGCAAAGACAAAGAACGAACAGTCGGCCGACCGTCGGTAGTGCTCCTCACTAGGCAAGTCAGTGAATATCAAGAGGGAAGGAGCGATGAGACACTGACAAAGGGTCATCTTTGGGTTCCCATCCGTCGAGAGACAATTTACAGTAAGCACAACTGGCTAGATCATTGCTCTCTTCAGTCGGGCAAAAGTACCATCCACCTTCTACCATCTGCCATGGACAAAATATCAGGTTGCAAGTTCAAGAGGCTGATAAACTGCGCTTTGGAATTGAGAACATGTCAAACACTACCTTTTCAGACTGGCAAACCCAGCCCCGCTTGCCATCGTGTGGCCACTGATCGCCAAAAGTGGCTTGTCTTGCCTGCGCTATCCTGTCGCTTGTTGGATCTTCAATTTCAGCTGGATTTGAGCTGTGCTGCTCGATGTCCATCATGATAGCCCATCCGCAATCCTTTGAGTGTTTAAGATGCTCAGTAATCGGGTTATCCTCCGATTCCCACCCGTCGAGCGCGCGCTGGCATAGGTAGCATGTTGTGTTATCGGGGTTGGTCTCATAGGGATTGTAGTAGAATCCTGCATGCGCTAGCTTTAGCTAGGTGTCAGCTATTGTATCAACAAAGACAGATATTAAAGAGAGGTAGTACCTCTGCAGGCGACGGCCTACTATGAGGCCAAGATATCGGCTTGACGGACTTTGCGCTCGATGTCCGTCGTCGTTCAGGATGGAGAACCAGATCAAAGCTGGCGAGACGGGCGGCGAAAGTCTCCATTTCCTTAATCATTATACCAAAAAGGAGATCGCATTAAAAAAGAAGGCCCCCTTCAAATTCAAAATATGTACGGCACATGAGTTATTCAAGTCGGTCGATTTGTTGTTTCCGGTCGCAAGTGGTGGTCGTCGAGGGAGTGGGCTCTGTTTACTGGCTTGTTTGGGTTAAAGGACGCGCTACCCCGTAATGAAACGACCGCACGTGATCAGACTGTCACTCAGCACAATGATGTGTTACTCTACTTACATGCCTTGCATGCGGGGTAGTTTAGACATGTTTAGGAGCTTTGCATGTACTAGTATCGCAGAGGCATCCTCGGTATTTTTGTTCTATATATATTGGGGCCGACAAGCGATATGCACTGTATACGGCAGCGGAACAGATGACGCCCCCAACAAGTGGACTTCGAAACGGCTAGGCTTCTATTTGTTTGGGCGTTTGGCAAAATGCCAAGAAAACCCCCGATGGTCTAGTTGGATATGGCGGTCGGCTGTAATGGAATATTGTAACCGACAGGTCGCCGGCTCGATTCCGGCTCGGGGGATCTGTTATTTTTTTTTATTTCGTTTGCGTGACTCCCATGCATCTACCTCGCGCAACAGGAAAAACAGCCAATCCCGAGTGACATTTATGAGTTCTGTCATACGAAGCAGTCCACTTCACGAAACGAAATCTTTTGGAACAATCGGACGCCGTAAAGCCTGTCAAAAGGCGACGGCGGATGATTGAACGGAAGGACTGCTCATGAGTCACAGTTTCTCCGACTCTACAACCACCAAACCCCCGATGGTCTAGTTGGATATGGCGTTCGGCTGTAATAGTTACTCCCATTGTAACCGAAAGGTCGCCGGCTCGATTCCGGCTCGGGGGAGGTACTTTTTTGTTGGAATTTTGATAGCCAATCATCACTGGATGCGCCGTGTGAGATAGCATCCCGCAAGAAAGAGGGGAATTTTCATTTTCAAATTCAGTCTCCATTTTTACTCGTAAGGAGCAGTAAAAAGACAAAAGATGGAAAGAAGGAAGATTATCCCCCGAGCCGGAATCGAGCCGGCGACCTTTCGGTTACAATGGGAGTAACTATTACAGCCGAACGCCATATCCAACTAGACCATCGGGGGTTTCCATCCCGTGTTGGACAAGGGCTTATTTAACTCAATAACCAGAGTAGTTCGGATTCTGAAAGACTCAGTCAGCCTCTGTAGACTGGATGGACCTTTTGGAAGTAACTTTTTGAGCCAAGAATACCCAGCTAGTTTTGGAGCGATGAGGCGGGTGTCGTCTATAAAATGCAAGACGGACAGATCAACAATTTAGAACAAGCCTTTAATTATAATAAATAGTGAAAAGCGGCCTTAACCCGCCTACCCTAGCCACATATGACACACCGTACTCCTTGGCGTCAGGTCGCTGAGATATTGAGGTCCACAAAACCCACAAAACACACGACTATCTAGTGAGCAAACAGGATCAGAATCAAAGCAAAAAGATTAACCCTCCCCCGAGCCGGAATCGAGCCGGCGACCTTTCGGTTCCAATGAGAGTAACTATTACAGCCGAACGCCATATCCAACTAGACCATCGGGGGTTGCTTGGTTGAATAGGAAGGTTACTCGTACCTATAAGACTGGATCTGACGTGAGACTGGAATCGGGTGCTGGTGCTATGTAGTCAGTGCCAGCATTGGGCAGGCTCAACCATCCTCGGACCTGTTTGATTCTTGGTATGTAGTGACTGGGAGAAACTGGAGAGTGGAAGCCGTGCGATAGCTGGATAAAATCCTCGCGAGGTATCGCTTAGATCGACTCGACGGCAACAGTAGTTCAATTGGGATCTTATATGCTTCCACCTGTATGGAGTAAATCACTGGGCAGAGACTTGGTCACTTCAATATTTTCAGGGTACTTGGAACGGATAGACCCATTTCGTCTCAAATGAATTTTTCCACGCAGGCGCTTCGGCCAATTAAAGGGGTAAAGGTGGTTGGTAGATAGTCGATTTTCCGCAACGGGGAACGGTTAGAAATATTTAACAAAAAGAAGAAAAAATAGTCGTCCCCCGAGCCGGAATCGAGCCGGCGACCTTTCGGTTACAAGGTTATTCTTCCATTACAGCCGAACGCCATATCCAACTAGACCATCGGGGGTTGAGACGTGATATACTCCGCGTTGCTTTGATCTATAGGATCTAGGAATTTCAGTGATTGCAAGAGAGAGTATTAACGTCTACTCTTTGGAGGCTCACCGTAGCAGATAAACGAGCACGAGGTCTTCACTGATAAGTTAATGCTGTGTTCATTGAATTATCTTGTTCATTCCTGCTAGGTATTCTCTTCGCATGTCATCCAGATTCTAAATGCTAACCGACAGAGTAGTCGCCTTTCCCCGGCGTGAAGTATATATAACTGCGAGCGCGTCGGGCCTGGATACCACATCTTCGGCGAAATCCAACCTGGACAATGAGAGCTAGGCTGAAATCGTCTGCGCAAGACGTTGCTTTCCTATAATTTCCATAGTACACGTAGCTTAAGTCCAGAACACCAAACTATTTCTCCTGTATCACGAATATTGGGCAAAACCGAACCGACCTGACAGGTATATATCATCTTATCAATTTCCTCATCCGTTCGCCTGACCAGAGTCATACTCGCAGTAATCGCAGTACTCGCAGTACTTCTCCTCCAAGGCAGTTCCACCTACAGGGTATGCGATTCACTAATTCCCTTATCTCTTCATTGTTGCGCAGAACCTCGTCATCTTCCGGTCTGTTGGAGATCGTTGCTGTTTGCATTGCCTGGTGGGATAAACAGCGAACAGTACGGGACTGACCGGCATTGCGTGCGCATATATTTATTCATCCGGAGCTTCGTTATACTTGTAGTGAAGTATATAGTATATGCCTCGTGCCCTAGTAGTCGTCGTCCCTCAGAATACGTATGGGTAGGAGACAGAGCGAGCTGCGGGGGCGAAGCTCGTCAAGCCAATCCTTGAGGCCGCTGGATTCTGTCGAGCCAGGCCGTGGCATACGTATATCTATCATATTGCTGTAGCAAAGAGGCACATCACGGCCTCTACAGTCGTCTGATTGACACACTTTGCCTGGACGCGAGGCCGAGAGTTTGATGTTGATACGTAAAGCCAAGTACGCACCGTGCGGTACCCCTAAAGGTGCCAAGGAAAAGCACGACAAAGAAAAGAACAGACAAATCGACGAGGGTCGTATCGGAAGCATACGTGGTATTAGTACTAATCAGACCGTCTAAGAGGAAGGACATCGCTCATGTGAGGTTTCAAACATCCATGGTTTTGAGCAGTTAGCTTGGCCGCAGACAACCAGAGCTTGTCATTGTAAAGCATGCACCATCCAAAGAAAGTATCTAATCCCTAGATCCGTCCGAGTCTGCCCATATGCGAAAAAGGGTTGCATCAACACACTATCCACTGCTTAAAGTGGAATATGATATCAAAAACTAAGAAAACGAAGGAATGTATGGGCTTAATAGTTTTCAAGGGGTATTATTCTGGCGAGAACGGTTTGGTCTGCACTAGACATGTATACTCCTGACAACTAGGCGAAGTGCCGGTGGTTGTAACATTTCTATGTCAGGTCATAAGCCCTGACTTCACGCTGATCCAGCAAAACTCCCAAAAGCAGTGCCCAAAGCACCACACGCCGACGCCGTCGCTAAATCACACAGTGTAACCCATAGAATGAACAAAAAATGCAAGTAGGCCATGATGCTATCATACAGTAGATCGCGTCGTATTCAGGTGTCAAAAGACTCATGTCTCTTTCGAGAGAAGACCGCCGACATCCTGGAGCTCCATATCATCCGACCTCTCCAGAATGGGCGCGTGAGTATCCCGCTGGGGGTGATACGGAGGCACGGGGGGATCTGCAGAGTCGCTAAAGTGGACACTCGAGCCCCGTCGGCGGCCATTTCTTGTGTTCGATGGGGGGAGTAAGCCCCCCACGTCCTGCAGGAAAGCTCTGCTACCATTGCGATATTGCTGCGAGCCAAAGCTCAGCTCGCGATGGCGTGTCGATTCGCCAGAAGAGTTGTGAGACCCTGGCGTTGGGGTGTCGTCCAGTAGCCCACCTACATCGAAGATGGAGACTTTGCTAGGGGAGGAGAGGGCGGCATCATTTAACTTTTTGTGAGGGGTTTTGTTGGTCTCGATGTACTCATGAGGGCTGACTTTCAGCTCCAAGCTACCAGTTGTAGACGTTATGTCGTCGTCTGTTCCCATCGAGTGACACTTGTTGCCAAAGGACCAATTCGGGGTCAGTGCCCCCGTTTGGGCCGTGAGGGGATGGTAGGGCACGGCGATTGGAGCTGGACGGGGAACCTTGTTGTCCGAGGAGTGAAGGTCAGGGGCCAGTCGCATCCCTAGATCTCCAGCAAGATCCGAGTCGCTGCCCCATTGATGATAGGTAATAGTGGCACGTCGCGTCGAGCTGTGATCCATACTTTCGCTCACCGAGGCCGAACCAACATCCTTCTTGAACTTCGCCTTCTTAACACCCTTATCTCTGACGAATGAGCCGATGACGACCGCGTTGGAGACAGCGGTCGCGGCCAGGATCTCCAGCGACGCCAGAAGCGATCGATACTGCTGCGATCCGTGGTGCCAAATGACCGATGGAACGCGATAGCAAGTGATCCCAACCAATATCAGAGACAAGGCGAAGAGCACTGCGAGTACCACCTTGCGCTTCATCGGCATATGCGTCATTAAGACGATCGGAATGGGATAGGCAACCAGAAGCAGGTCGGTGATAATGTCGCATGCCCCCATCGTGATCAGATTGGCATAGCCCAAGCGACACTGCGGCCCTGGATCCGGAACAACCTGCCAGTAGTGGTCGAAAGGCTGACATTCAACGAGAGTCGCAATCAGCACTGCGACTAATGTCGACGCCAGGAAGTAGTAAATGATCTGGAGGAATATTCGGAGTGACCGTTGCCAGATCATCCCTGCAACTCGTTTCAGAAATTCGCACACGGTGAATTTGGCGATCCAAATGCTGTTCGTAGAAGTAAATCATCAGTATACCAGCAATGACCAAGAACGCAAATTCGGGGGCAAGGTGTATTACAAAATCGCATAGAATATTCGAGCGGCAAGGACCAGCCTGCTGCCAATCTCTCTCTGCCGTATTTCCTCCTCAGTCAGGCCAGCCGTCTTGGTATTGTTCGTGCCATAGAGCAGTACCACATGCACCAGCGCCATCCGTATCAACAACGGAATCACGCTAACCATCATCATCTTGTCCTCTGGGAAGAACCGCTCAGTCCGGATATAGCGACCACAGACACGGGTTATAATGAACGCCAGAGAAAATCCGGTCGCCCACCAGCTCACCAGGAGTGTGGGGTGATCATCAAACCGTGTCCGAATGTCCGGGGGCGTCTGCGAATAGATCCCTCGTGTGTTCAGCATCGATTGGTATAAATCCATGGCCGCTGAGCCACCTCCGAAGAGGGGCCAGGGATCAACAGACGGCAAAGGCGTTTCTTATGAGGGTCAATCGACGATAAGA